TTTTTGTTAAAAATCTAATAACATGAAAACTCTGGACATTTTTCATACTTGGTTTATAATTTATGTCAGTGTCACTAAAACGATGATAACTTTTCTGAACACATTTAACATTTGTTTTACAGAAAAAAATTACACAGTCCTTAACCGCTAGAGCGCCAAAAGTTACATAGTGCTGCTTTAAATGTGCAAGGCTTCCGGTCTCATCCGCTTTAGCTGTACAACAACAGTCCGATATGCTGCTCGGCATTGCAAACTGGTATTTATTGTTATATAAGCTACGTTTAATTTATTATCGTAGTCATGAACACATTGGTTTGTAAAGCAAATTACATGATAAAAACTGTAATCTAGATTACATATTGTAGGTAATCTGACTACTTTTTAGATTACTTTTGGATTACTTTAAAAATATAAAAAATATATTTGATATAAAAAAGCAAAGAGAAAGAAAATACATTTCATTTTTTGATATAAACATTAAGCATTAAACCATTGGTCTCAAACTCAATTCCTGGAGGGCCACAGCTCTGCACAGTTTAGCTCCAGCTCTAATCAAACACACCTGATCCAGCTAATTAATCTTAGTCTTCAGGGTCACTAGATACTTCCAAGCAGGTGTGAGTTGGAGCTGGTTGGAGCTAATTACTAATTAAATCATAAAAATGTCAAATTATTTAAACACTTGAACACTAAAAAACAGAAATATGTAATTTGTTTACCTGCATGTCAATGTTACCATTAAGTGGCATTGAACAGTAAACATGCCAAGTGTTTTTAATTATTGAAATACATTCAAAGTTATTTACACAACATTTGTGAATATAGTTAAAGCTAAGGAAAAAGGAAGAATTAGAAAGAATCAATAATTTATGAATGATTGTGTGAATAACATGTAATCATGTAATCCATTAAAAAGTAACTGTAATCTAATTACGAGCATTATGTAATATACTCTTAATTACGAGTTCTTGATTCTTGGAATTTGATTACATAATCCAGATTACATGTAATCAGTTACTACCCAGCTCTGCTGCTCAAACTTCACACAAATAGTAGCTTACTTCCACATTGCAAAATAAAGTAATGCTTCTGTGGAATCATTTGTAAAATCCAGTAACACAAGGACAATAAATTGTAACTCACAACAAACAATCCATCAGGTCAATTTTTCTTAGTCATTAAAGGGAAAGTAAGTTTGGCAGCCTCATATTAGAAATATGTAGATAGGCTAGGTCTAGATGGTCAACTAGTGAATTAAGCACTCGACTAGTCGATTAATCGGTTTGAACCATTATGCTGTAACTGTGTGAATATTATCGGATGGCCTGGGCCTTCTTCTGCGGCACGTCTTCATGATATTTACATCGTAGATAGCGAGCGAAGGCTTGTCGATAAATCTCGTTGAAAAGGGTGTAGATCAGAGGATTCACTCCAGAGGAGATATATCCCACCCAGACAAAAAAGTGAATGAGGTTATAGAGATGCTCGCTGCAGTTGTCCTGACAGACGGCGATCAGCACATTGGTGATGAAGAACGGACACCACATGACCAGGAAGAGAAAAAACACAATCCCCAAGACTTTGGAGGCTCGTTGCTCATTGTTCAAAGCTTGAATCATGCCTCGTCTGCCTTGGCCTCGTGGACCTTGTGCAGACTTGTTAGTGGAGGACTTACTGTTAAGCAGACTCGTGTCACTTGTCTGCACAGAAGAACGTTTGGAGTGGCTCTTGCTCTCTTGCGGGAAGGAAGCGCTGTGCCTCTGGAGATCACGGAGAGTGAGGTAATAGCAGACCACCATGATGACCAGAGGAACGAAGAAGGCCACGGATGAGCCAACAAGGACGAACCGAGGCTCGTTCAGGGTGCAGGTGCCGTTCACAAACACCTTCTGCTTGTCCTGGAAACCCAGTACTGGAATGGGCAGCGACAACACTGGAAGAAACAAAGCAAGAAGAATGAAGGATCAGCTCAGAAAGCATGTTTTAATCCATCGCATCCCACCGGTTACATTAGTGACCGAAATTTAGTTTGGAGGGAATTTGAAGTATTTTATGCAGAATTTTAAACTAAATGAAAGTGGAGACTGTCGTGATTTCATGTGTGAAGAGTAAACCCACTGAAAGCCTGACCCACTGAAAAAAGTCAAAGCTGACAGATACAATTTAATACATATAATGGTCTGTTATTGATTTATAACACATAACCATGTAAGTGAGTTTCATTATAAAACTGCTGATTTCAAAATGTTAAATAAAGCTTAAAAATTTATTCTTGGTTTATCAATGTCATTTTCCCTCACAGTTAGCAAAAATATTAAATTATGCTATATTATTTTTTGGTCAATTTGTTAGTGCACTCTAAAAAATGCTGGGTTAAATATAACCCAGCACTGGGTTAAAAAGGGACAAACCCAGCTATTGGGTTGTTTTGACCCAGCTATTGGGTTGTTTTGATCCAGCTATTGGGTTGTTTTGATCCAGCTATTGGGTTGTTTTGATCCAGCTATTGGGTTGTTTTGATCCAGCTATTGGGTTGTTTTGACCCAGCGGTTGGGTTCAAAACATCCCAACCAGTGGGTCAAAACAACCCAACCGCTGGATCAAAACATCCCAACCGCTGGGTCAAAACATCCCAACCGCTGGGTCAAAACATCCCAATAGCTGGGTCAAAACAACCCAATAGCTGGGTCAAAACAACCCAATAGCTGGGTCAAAACAACCCAATAGCTGGGTCAAAACAACCCAATAGCTGGGTCAAAACAACCCAATAGCTGGGTCAAAACAACCCAATAGCTGGGTCAAAACAACCCAATAGCTGGGTCAAAACAACCCAATAGCTGGGTCAAAACAACTCAACCTCTGGGTCAAAACAACCCAATAGCTGGGTCAAAACAACCCAATTGATTCAGAGTTCAGCGTTCAAATTTTAAAAAATTGACCCTTATGACTGGTTTTGTGGTCCGGGGTCACATATATCAAAGTGTGTTTATACAGACTTGTGTGTAAAAGATCAGACAAAGTACTGAGTGAAAATTAAAAAAAATATATTTGCAGTGGTTGGGATGTTTTGAACCCAACCGCTGGGTCAAAACAACCCAATAGCTGGGTTTGTCCCTTTTTAACCCAGCGCTGGGTTATATTTAACTCAGCATTTTTTAGAGTGTGGGTCTAACTGATCAATTTAAAACTGCCTGAATAAATCTAGACGTTTTTAAAAACTTTTTTTTTTAATATAGAAAAAGAATGCCGTTTGTTTCACTGTGCAATCCAGGGACTTGTGTTCAAAGCATAAGTTTACTATGTAATACCAAACCAAGGGCACAGGTAGAACGCAAGCCAGATCTGAAATGAAAAGATACAATGACAGAATTTTAGTGCGAGGCATAAAAGTATTTGCATGACTGGCAAAAACAAGACAACAGCCAAGTGTCTGAGGTCATTGCAGAACTAGATATTTTGTTGAACAATGGCAATAATAATAAATTTAGCAATTCTGTTTTTCAAATCTTCCATTACTGTGTAACACCTAACTTTTTGATGCTACATAAAGATTGAGGGACCACAGAGACTGATTCATTTCAGTGAGCCATGTGTATTAAAGACATACTGTGAGCCACACATTCATATCAACAAGTCCAAACATTAGCATATAGAGTCTTCCAGAGTTGAGGAAACATCAATTAAGTCCACCAAGTCCATCAGTTCATAGATATGACCATAAGTAGCATTTTGTCACAGTGAAATCAGTCTTTAAAGTGGAAAATATGAGACCAGCAGTCCTTAAATGAAGCAAGGAAGAATCGGAACCAGCAAACAATTCATCCGTTTGTTGATCATAGAATAAGATGAGTAGATGTTTGGATGAAGACAATTAGCCCCTTTTTGTCTAGGTCCTGTTTATATCTGTGCTGTTTCCTCTCTCATACAAGAACCCTCTGCATTTAAACAAACATACAATCAACACGTGTTTAGTATTAACCCCTAACAGAAAGCATATTTACAAACTCTACATACATACAAAACAATGCCTTACTTACATTTGAGAGCAAGAACAAATTGTTCCTCAAATCAGGGCACCAACAAAGGACAGCAAAGGTGAAGACATTCCATGTGCTTAGCACACTACTTCCTGCCTAATGCTACTTCTTTACCCCCTTTTAGGCAAATGAGCAACTCAGAATACAGAGCGCCCCCTAATGATTGGTATAGCTATAACATGCAAAGAACTACTGGGAACAAATGTGACAGTAAAACTGTTACAACTGGTGCAGAAATCTTACAAAGCAGCTTTAACTTGGCAGTATAGAGATACTACAAGATGAGGTCACATGCATGGGCTTGACTTTGTTGTTTGCTGGTTGTGACCTTATTATATAATTAGGTTAAGCATAAATACATTTTAATTTTCATTGCGTAAAATCACTCTAAAAAACAAACAAAGGTTCTTTATTGGCATCTGTGGTTCCATGAAGAAACTTAAACATCCATGGGACCCTTCATTATACAAAATATTCCTGTTCTTCAAGTTAAGAAAAAAAGGTTCTTTAAGGAATTGTTCACTGAAATGTTCTTCTATTGTATTGGTATTGATGTAAAAAACAAAACAAAACTAACCTTTATTTTTAAGAGTCAGAGATCAGTGCTAGAGCATTTGCTCATTTCAGGTCAAAAGAGAAATGGGCAAAAAATAATTGAAATGAACATTTCTATAGCACACTTTTTTGCACTCATCTGTGTGCAGACTGAAAACAGCCGCCTGCAACAAACACTCAGCTTAAACATTAAGAACAACAAATTCTAGCATTGGTTCGCTACTCATTATAACACATCCTAAGATGATGAAAACTCTTGACCAAGAACAGCAGATCCTTCTTCTGGATTAGGTAAATGCATGGCTGCTTCAAAATTAGCCTTAGAGAAAAGTGAGACATTATGAGACATAGATGGTCACATGTCACTAACATGGTGCAATATTGCAACTTATTTAACTACAAAATATTTATAAAAAGAAATGCCTATAGGGTTGGTGGGTGTTAAGTACAAAACCATAAGAAGAGCTGTGCAGAAAGATCAAGCTGTATGCATCAGAAATGCTAAATACATAATAGGGTTGGAATGCTGACTGTGACGGAGGGCCTGATGCAGCAGTAGTCGCTTCTCCTGTCAGTTCCTGTTAGTGCTGTGTACTCTCTAAGACATCAAGCAGAGTCTGTGATGCCCCGGGAAGCACACAGAAACAGGGTCAGAGCACTTGCCTGACTGCTCACATTATTGCTCATCATGCTAAACGAGTGGAGGAACAGCTGCAACATCCTGCAACCTAATCGAGCAATGTTTTTCAGATTCAGAAGCTGCTGATGTTTTCAGCTATAAGTCTAGAGCAGGGTCGAGCAAGATCAATACCACGACCTGTAGGGTCACAATACTATAAAAAATTATAGCAACTACTAATCTGTACTCTGTTTATAAATTGATTTGTAAACCATTCCCTCATTACAACAATTTGTGTGCAGAGGTTTGTAAACTGATCCCAATTTAGCAATCTGAAAAGTTATGAAAAAAACATTAATCACCTGTACACTGGGGGGAAAAAATGGTGTAGAAACTTTACAAATAAATGGCAAATAACACACTGAACTAAATGTGAATTTTTTAAGTAGAAAGACTGAGATTGTATTTTTCTTGTAAATCATAGTCCAATAATTTTTGTTTTATTTACAACTTGTAAAACACGTTCAATGCAGCATGGCAACTTCGATTGCTTTTTGTTACAGAATATATTTTCATTTATGAACGTAAAAGTGCAGCACAAA